TGTGTCCCTGTGATGGACTTGCGACCCATCCAGGGTGTACCCCGCCCCTCGCACAGTGATTGCTGGACATGAGCACCGGCGACCCCCGTGACCCAAAATGGAAGAAGCGGGTAAAGAAAATGGATGGATGGATGGTAATAAATGTTAGCAAAGAATTAAGAAATCCATTTGTACCAAAATAAGTATACTTTTGTCCTTTCACCAACACTATTTTTACATTGTTGTTGAGTTTAAAATGAACCCCCCCCAAAATAGAAAAATCCTAAGAATTATTTCTAAATGTTTGAATCTAATGTTAAAATTATGGCCCGCGAGTACTTTCATTTAGAAATTTTTAGCCTGTGATTCAAAAAGTTTGGACACGACTACTATTGATGTTTTAAAAAATGAAAACTTTCCTCGTCTCCATATATTTTACTGCTTATTCTTAGTCAGGTCTTATTCTTAGTCGGATTGTAAAACTAAGCTATACAAGTGGCTAGCTAAAAAACTATGTTTTAAACACCCCCCCCCCCCCCACCACACACACACACACACACACATCAGAGGATATGACCACCCTGCCAAGGCAAGTGACTGAGGACGAGGCCCTAATCTATCGATCCATCTCTCGCTCCATCCTACTATCACTCGTAAACAAGATGAGGTAAACACTCGCGCCCGACTTCACACTCTGCGAACCGCCCCAGTGCATTGTGAATGTCTTGGCCTGAAGACGCCAACAGAACCACATCATCCACATAAAGCAGAGATGAGACACTAAGGTTCCCAAATCAGACGCCGTCTTCTCCACCGTCTGCATCTCGAGATCCTGTCCAGGAACATCACAAACAGGATCGGAGACAAGGGACAGCCCTGGCGAAGTCCAACCCGCACAGGGAACAAGCTCGACTTTGTGCCAAGAAACCAAAACTATTACTAACTTATTCATGTTTTCAACCAACTTATCGTTGAGCATCTAAAAACACAACTCCCTAAGTAATGAATTAATTCCAATAATTAGACGCAGCACAAAGACCAGCTTTTGGATACCAATAATTCACAATAATTGAAAGGAATCAGTTGCGGGAAAGAACTTTTGGTAAAGACAGACTGCTTGATTTAGTTGTGTAATTCTAGCTAAATGGACCTAAACTATTTTAAGTAATATTTAAGACAAATGAATGTTTGTGCTTCTCTGACCGGTTCACTGATTGTTTATCCAAGTTTCCTTGCCTTTTCAAGTTGTAGGCTCTTGATATTGTCAAAGCACTTCTTCATGTGAGGTTGCATAGCTTGTGGGTTCTGAGACTGTCCTAGGATCTCCAGCACGTCATCATTAGACAGGAAATAGAATCTAGGGAAGATCTGCCTCTTGGTCTCCAGATACATGTCCAAGGCTTTCAGGATTTCTTCAAGTTTGCTGTTCATGTCTGACAGATTCTGTAATAAGCCTGAAACACAAAGCCAGGAAAGTTATGAAGAAATATTAAGCTGGAATGGTGTAAATGTAAACACGTACAAACATGGCAGTTTGGATTGATAAATGCTCTCATCATTTGCAGGCTGGTTTATTTTGTGAATGTTTATGAGGCATTCACACTAATGTGATCCAATTTTCTTCCATACGCTTTTCAGCATCTTTCTCGTTACACAATTGTTGTGCTATTTCAACAAATCATAAATAAAAAAGTTCAGCACTTTCAGGACAATCCTGCTATGATTTTTGGTATTGGTGCAACTTAAGCTTTTAGAAATATTTGGCCTTTTCTGCCATTTTTTTTCCTCATAGAAAATGAATTGAGCAAATTTTACATCCTTCAAATCTTTAGATCGGTTTACAATATTTTACTGCTCCTTTCACATTTTGTCCTGGTTCAGCTTCTTTCAGCTTCCTTGTGCAAACTTTAAAAAAAATTTCAGCTACTTTCAGCTGTTTTGTGCTTCTTTCTGATTCTTTCTCCTAACTACAACATTTTTGTGCTTCTTCTAACTTCTTTCTACTAATTTAGCTTATTATGCTCCTTTCAGCTTATTTATGCAAGTATCAACTTTTTCTGCTATTTCAGCTACTATTTAGCTGTTTTATGTTAATTTTAGATATTGCAGCCAAATCAACATTTTTTGCACTCATTTCAACTTTTTTCAGCTTATATCAGCAAAAAGGTGATCTCCTCACTTTCTTCTGGTAATTTAAGCATCTTTATGCTTTTTTTTTAGCTACTTTCAGCTGTTTTTTTAAGCTAAGTATAGCTTTTTTCCAGATAATTTCCACATTTTTGTGCTAATTTCTGTTTTTTTTTCAGCCTAATTGGACAAACATATTCTTTCTGCTTTCTTCAACTAATTTAAGCTTGGTCTACCTTTTCAGCTACATTTTTAGCCTTTTTTGGGGGGGCTAATTTCAGTTGTTCTCTGATAAATTCAAGTTTTTTGTGATATTTTTGGCTACTTTAAGCAGCCTAATTAACTTCTTTCTGCTAATTTCAGCTTTTTATGCTCCTTTCAGCTTATTTATGCTTAAGTTATTTCAGCTACTATTTGGGGAGTGGTGGCACAGAGGTTAGAGAAGGTGGCCTGTGATGGGAAGATCGCCGGCTCAAGCCCCAGTACTAAGCACCCACACCTCCCTCCACCCTCATTCGCCCCACTCTGGGCCCATGAGCAAGGCCCTTAACCCCCATCTGCTCCCTAAACAGGTCTCTCTTGAAAATGAGTTCTCGTGGCTTAATGAGACTACCTGTATAAATAAAGGGCAAATGAAATGAAAAAAAAAAAATAAATAAATTATCTGTTTTATGCTCATTTTAGCTTTTTCCGCTAATTCCACTATTTTTTCTCTCATTTCAACTTTTTTCATCCAAATTCAGAAAAAAATTGTGCTCTATACACTCCCTTCTGGTAATCTAAGCTTCTTTCTGCTTTTTTAGCTACTTCTCAGCCATTTTGTTTTTGCAAATTTTTGCTTTTTTCAACAATTTTAACTTTTTTTGTGCTCATTTCTACTTCTTTAAGCCTAACTGGGCAAACATGTTATTTCTGCTTTCTTCTGCTAATTTAGGTTTGTTCTACCTTTTCAACTACATTTCGGCTTTTTTTTTTTTTTTTTTAGCTAATTTCAGCTGCTTCTCAGCAAGTTCTTCTGCAATAAGCATTCACACTGCATTTTCACAGGAAATGCAGTTTCTATAGTTTTTTTTCTTTACAGTTTAAAAACAAGGCAACACACAGATATTGTTGTTGTTGTTTGAAGATATCAAAGAGGAACTGAATTTGTGGGTGGATTAAAGAAAGAAAATGTGCTGCAGTACCAGGATGGTGCGTCCCTGTTAAGGCGTTGTTGTTCTCGTTGAGGCGACACATTATGGTTTTCCAAATGGCACTAACGCCTTCAAACTCTTTGCACTCATGTGGAAGCCGATCTCTGATGTCCTTTCCTTGAAAAATGTTCTGGGGAATGGAAAATAAATGGCGGTGACCGAAACGGAGAGGTCATTTGGGGAAAAAAAAAACAATGAAATTCAACCTAAGCTTGGTACAGAACATGAAAAAGTTGTTATGGAGAGAAAAAAAATTAAGTGTTTACAACCTAAAAGAAAAATTATACTTCAAAAATCATATCTAGTTATTATTTGAGGGGGGAATAATAGATGGTGAATGTTGGGGCCTGGAAAATTAAAAATGAAACTGAAGTGTTTTAAAAACAATCAATGCCAGCGAGTTTAACGCCACAGTGTTTCAGATAAACCTTGCTTTAAGTCAGAATAATTATTAGTGTAATGAAAATGTTTCTTTGTGAAAACGATGTCGTATTTGTGAGTGTAAAGTTTTGTATTATTTTGACCATAAAGATAACTCAGAAATATACGTATCATCGGTGCTGCTCTCAGAGACTGTTCAATATCTCAGCTGTCAGATGTTTTTATATCATGTGCAATAACGTCAAAACACACAGTATTACTGTATATAATAGTACTCTCTGTACCTCCAGATAAATCCAGTTACGCTGCACAGTAAGAATCATCTCAATGACTTCCAACATGTGAGACAGCTGCTGCTCCCATTGCTCCACCTGCTGCTCAAAGGCTTTAACAAATCGTGACGCCTTCATTGTGGACAAAATAACTTGATTGTCGTCCAGAGTCTGGAAAATGTCTTCAGTGCCTCTGAAAGAGATAAGGTGTGAAACCACGACTTGGTTCAGATAGACTTCAGCACTTCAGTGGGTACAATGGGTTTTGTTGGTAATGGTAATGTGTGGTCAGTATTTGGATTCTTATAACGTCTTACCTCCCTATCAGTCTGGTTTCAGGAAACGACACGGCACGATGACGAAGGTTTTTAATGATGTTGTTGAAGCTTTGGATGCTAAAGATTATTGTGCTGCACTTTATTTAGACCCGTCTAGAGCTTTTGACACTGTGGATTATAACATCTTATGTCATAAGCTCTCAGAAATTAGTTTCTCAGACCACACTATCGGTTGGTTCTCTAATTATCTCTCAGATCCGAGGCAATGTGTTCAACTTAATGGTACTTCTTCCAGCTATCTGTTAACAACGGTGTACCACAAGGTTCAGTGTTAGGACCCACCCTCTTCACAATCTACATAAGTAATGTAAGTCAGTTCATTCCTGATGCATCCTTCTCCTACTCTGCTCCTGTATCCTAGAACACCTTGCAAAAAGATCTGAAGCTCTCGACCTTGACCTCTCTAAGGGACTTTAAACATCTGCTAAGTTCATAGCAAAAACCAACGCAGACATGTTCCTGTTTTTTGTATTTTATATCGCTTTATAATGTAGCTGTTTTTGTTTAGCTTTTTTAAAATATTTTTTAAAATTTATTTTTAATTTTATATGTTTTTTTTATGATTGTTTACTCTTGTCATTGTTGTCTGCTGTTGTCATCACTCTTTTAAAAACAGTTCTCTCTTGTAAATGAGTCCTCGAGGCTCAGTGAGGCTAATCTGCATAAATAAAGGTTGAATGAAAAGGAGATGCAACATAGAGCAAAGAGGGAGGTAGATAAGGCAAAGCATAACGTGTATAATGAGGTGTAAGGAAGGTTGGACACTAAACAGGGCAAGAAGGAATTGTACCGATTGGCAAGACAGAGGGATCAGGCTGGAAAGGATGTGCA